ATAACTATAATGAGGAACCCCAACAAAAGGAACCCCCAAAATAGGTGTATTATACTATAACTATTATAAGGAACCCCGGAAATAGCCACATTATACTACAATTATAATGAGGAAACCCAAAAATAGGTACGTATATTATACTCTAACCATACTAAGGAACCCGCAAAATAGGTATATTATACTATAACTATAATGAGGAACCCCAACAATAGGGCATATTATACTATAATTAAGGAACACCCCAAAAATAGTATAGGTAGCTTCTCCGGCTCGCCCACCAAGCTGGGCACATCTTGCGACCGGCACTTCGCTTATCTGTTCAATGCCGAACACCGAAACCCACCCGCCCTAAACCCTAAACCCTAAACCCAAAGTGTGGAATGGATGCTCATGCGTCTATAGGCCGTACGGCACCACTTAAAGGTGAGGCTTAAGGAAGAAGGTCCTTACAAGTAGCTTTTGTAGCCATCCGATGGAATGTCGATTAACACATGCCGACGCTGATGTTATTCAACCGGCCTTCATCACCAACATCGCCTTCTACAAAACAAACAAACTACGGAGTGTGGACAGGAAGTAGACCCGACCACAGGCATAACGATCAGCTTTGCCATGTGACGGCTCTTGAAGATAGAAGCCGGCAATGAAGTGGAAGACAAAGAGATTGGACAAGTTCATGCCGAGGCTGAGCCGCGCCCTGAGAGCATGGCTCGTCATCATGTCGAGAGGTACTTTGTTGTGGGTTTAGGGTTTAGGGTTTAGGGTTCAGGGTGTAAGGTTTAAGGTTCAGTGTTTAAGGTTTAGGGTTCAGGCTTTAGGTTTAGGATTTAGGGTGCAATACCATTGATGCTGCTACTGATTACCACTGCGACGAACACCGTGACTGCTTGTCGGAGGCAGCAACAGTATTAGTACTAGCACTTCTCCAGTAGCGACAGTAGCAGTGGCAGTTGCCATCGTTATCGCAGTCGGAGCGGCAACAGCAGCATGACTTCAACTGGTCCTTGTAGTGTTTTCGCCAGAGTAACAGTATTTGTAGGTATTCCATTGGCATTGGTTTTCGTACCATTATTCCTGCATCACTAGAATTCCTCGCAGAGTTCGCAATGGTCTGATGATGCGAGCATTCTCTGCAGAGCGGATAACCCCAAACCCCAACCCGTAACGAATTACATTGAAAGGCTCATGCGTCGTCGCGCTTCGAGGGCAAGCTACCGCACCCTAAACCTTAAATCCTCCAAAGCTAGGGTGCGGACAGAGCAGAGATCCAAGACCACTGGCACCCCGCAGCAGGCCCTGCAGGAGCTGCAGACTCGCGTAAGAGCAGCTGGAAACCGATCACCTCATGACGACAGTTTAGGGTTTAGGGTTTGGGGTTTAGGGCCCCTTCGTATGCTGATAAGTGAACTTAAAGCTTCGTATATATCTGTCTGTATGTACCATGTGTATCATTAAATACAAAAACTACAACGGATTTCTCTCTCAGCAGACGTCCGTGATCGTAAACAAATACAACATGTATGCTCAACATCAATACCTTGTTTAGGGTTTAGGGCCGGGGTGCAGGATATTTGCCACCCACAAGGTGGCGCCAGGATGCACCCGGGCAGATGTCTCTGCATCGGTAATAGTTGGATCTCTCTTTAAGGCTGCCTCCCTCAGCCTCTCTCCGTCTCAAGTCGACAGCCACATCACGGAAATTATATGGCCATCAACAAGAGCAACAGAATCAGTACTAACTCGCGTTCCCAGAGTGTTCACCGAGCACCAAATCTCACCGCAGCATTTTTCTGAAACCCCGAACCCTACACCCTGAACCCTAAATCCTTAACCCCAAAACCCTAAACCCTAAACCCTAAAACCCTAAACCCCAAAACCCTAAACCCTAAAACCCCAAACCCTACATCGAAGACGGCTGGGGCTTCCACGAAAAGCAGCTCCGAAACCTGAGCAGCGCGGAGCCCAACATGTAGGTAGTTGTCAAAATTATGGTCCTTTTTGGGGTACCCTAAATAATAGGTGCCGTATTATAATAAGGACCCAAAAAGGGACCATAATTTTGACAACCACCCATGTAGAGGATTGTCGAGGTGCTGAAATCCCTGGGAGTACCTTACGAAATACGGTCTAGTGAGTTTAGTGCTTTAGGGTTTTTTTAGGGTTTAGGGTTTTAGGGTTTGGGTAGTTTAAGGTTCAACTACTTACCATAACCTACTTTTTGTACAGCCCCTCTAAATTCCATTTTAGGGTTCGTGATGAGAATCGGCAAAAAGGTAGGTTATGGTAGCTTAAGGCTCATGACATCATACCAATGACAACCGAGGATTCCACCGAGAGCAAGAGTCAGTGAAATGTGAGGTTTAGGTTTTGCCTTGCGCCAAGGATCCAAGTACCCAATAATCCAGATAGCTTGGGGTTTAGGGTTTCGGGGTTTAGGGTATAGTAACCTACATAACTTTACATAACTACCAACTACCCGAAACCTAAGTATCTACTTGGG